GTTCTTTTTCTTCATTTTAATTTTGCTTTTTTTTTGTGGTACAGCGGTTGTAAGCTTGGCCTTTTTTTTCTTTGCCTGTGTTGTTATGTATTAGGGAGAAAAAAGTATTCGTCCATTTCTTTTCATGTGTGATCCTCAAAAAAATAAAAAATTCTTTTCATGTGCAGTTATGTTTGTCTTTTTTGTTTTTCCATTTCTTCTTTTCTAAATAATTTTTGTAAGTACATGAATAATTGTAGAATTATATGAAGATTTTTTTGTATAAATGTTTTTCTTCTTGTAAAATTACATGTTTTATAAAGAATATAAAACTTTGATATTACACGTATATGTATGTAATTTTGCTTGCGTAACAATAGTTGCACACTCGTTTGCTATGCGTAGCTGGATGTTCATCGTCCATGTGAAACTCCTTCAAAAATTATTCAATATAATTAGTTTATCAATAACTGTTTATATTTTTAGGTTCTACTTTATTTGTATTTCTAGTTTCTATATTTTTGCTGTATTGGGTTTTTCCGTTGTTGTTACCGCTACACTAAATCTCAGTAGGGATGTCTCTGTCGATGGCACTAAGATTTGTGTGTACGTGTACGTTGGCCCGAACGAGCTCTTTTCTTCGTCGCTGCACGGGCTGGTGGAGATGAGAGAGCCTTTCTTTTATTTTTCTTCTCTGCGTTGTTCCTTTGCTGTGCAGCCTAAGTTTCCCGAGAGTGCTTTTTTAGTTATTTTTGTCAGCCTACAAAATAAATACTTTGTTTTGTTTCTTTTTCTCGCCCTACACAAATGAGTTTTGCCTGTAGGAGAGGAAGTCTCGCTGGCTTCTCTTTTTCCCAAAAGAAATTTTCAATTTCATTTTTTCCTTTTTCTTTACCTTTTTCTTCTTTTTATTGTTTTCCTTTTCATTTATTTTTTATAAGACTTTAGCTGTTTTTATTTTTATTTTTATTTATTACTTGCTCGTCCCATTTCATATTTTTCATTTTGTTTTTCTTCTTGTTTATTTAATTTAATTTTTCATTTTTCATTTTGTCCTTGCTTATTAATGTTGTGTTTTATTCTATTTGATTTTAGCATATTTTCCAACTTTCTAGCAGCCCTATTTTAGCAACGAAATATCCTACCAATTTTTTTGTTAATCATTTTCAGTTGCACATCCATTAGATGATTTGTAAGTAAATGTTGGCTGCAATAGTTGAAATTTTATTAGCAGGATTGCTAAAATTCAGTCGATTGAGTTTAACCGAAGTCCCGGTACACATATATAGTCGTTAGATCATTGTTTCCGTAAGATTCATGCAGCACTGCTTGTCTAGTGTTACCCCGACCTATTTAGTGCTCGCTTCTTCTTGTTTACTTTTCTCGTGTTCAGTGTTGATGCGCGATGTGCTGGTTGTGCGAGGCGTTTTTTATTGTTTTCGTTGGACATTTCAATCGCCATGTACACACCATATCTACCACGGAGTACTCGTCTCAGGGGAAGGGTCTTTGTCCCTCGAGGTTCTTCAGTTGCATTTTTTTCATCTGTTTTCCCCTCATTTATGCCAGATCTCTATTTGTGGATTTATTTATGTATGCATTTTATTTATCTATGCTTGTATAATGTAGGAAATGCTTCTACTTTAATGAGTGGGGATTTTTGAACCATGTAGACATAAATGTTAGTGGGTATGTTGGTTGTTAGTGGATTTTTAAACCATGACTTTTGTTTTGTACAGGACCGACATTTTCATATATATTTTTCTTGTTTATGCATAAAAGAATATTAGCATATATTTTTTTCTTGCACACGGGTGCAAGTGCATGTCTTCTAACCCGACCACAACTGGACTTTTTTGTTTTGTCGAAGGGGGCGCCGGAAGAGGGGGCGGGCCAGTTGCAAGCCCGACAACAGCCCGCAACTGCACGTCCCCCAACATTGTTGCAACTCAACCTTTTTTTTATCGGAGGGGGTGCCAGGAGAGGGGGCGGGCCAGTTGCAAGCCTGACAACAGCCCCGCAATTGCATGTCCCCCAATATGGTTGTAACTCGACTTTTGTTTTGTCGGAGGGGGTGCCGGGAGAGGGGCAGGCCAGTTGCAAGCCCAACAACAACCCCGCAACTACAAGTGCCGTACTCGACCGCAATTGCATGTCC